ACTGGAAGAACTATAAACATACCATCAATGCTCCTTATTCGCTACTCCTATAATGAAGTACTCAGCGAGGATAGTTCATACAAAGGGCAGCGGACTGGTTAATACAATCATGCAGAAATACCCGGGCTCACAGTTAGTTTCCAGATAACTTGCCCGACTGCATAAGAAACGTTTACACACTCAGATAAAAGCTGAAGACGCTTGTTGATTGCCTTTTTTCGCAAAATGCCAGAAGCTTGGGATTCCCGTTAACCGGCAATAGCTTGAAAGATAGAAATTACAAAAGATATGCGCACCTGCCAGGATAAATGTTCTCTGACTTCTCCTAAGAAAGTCACCTTTAGGATGGTGTTGTTTGTAGGNTTTGTAGGAACTATTTTCGAGTGTGTACCGAGATTCATTGGGATGGAGGACTGTTCATTCCACCCACATAAGTGTCACGGCAACTACAAATGACATGATGGCGTTTGGTGTGTATTGTGCAAATGAAACGTGAACTCAACGATGAGGAAGCAGTGCACAGCTGTTTTAACCTGGTTTGGTCTAATCTGTAGTACGAAACAATGGACCCAACTGAGAATAGAACCCGGGACCTCAAAGGTAAACATCATTTTGGACGGAATTGGGTGGCACGTTGTGACTACACTTGACCGGACAAGGTGCCTTACTGTGCGGTAGGGAGTTCAACCTAACGGTAAATTGAAAGTGCAAAAAATCGGTTCATCAGATGATCACCTTTCAAGGCTCATATTAGGAAAATTGGTTTGATTCGGTATACCAATTTCGAGGTCAGTCGTCACGCGTCACATGCCATGCATATCGACAAGTATATCCGAAATTGTGCAATACAGTGTTGTCTCCCTCCTCCGAATCTCACTTCCTAAAGTGTGTCCTGCAAGCGAATATTCCTGACACCTTTGTATTTTATAACAATAAAACATGATTTTAAGTATTGATCACTACAAACAGCTTTCCAGTGAGCACATCAGCGTGCGTTCCCATCTGATTACTCCCAATTGGATATCTAAAAAAACATTATTAATTTTCCTTCCCCTCTGAACTAAAAACCAAAGATGCTGGTGAATGGAGTCGAACAGCTGGAAAACATCGCTGTGTTCATTTGGTCAGTAAAGACGAACTATCATGCAACGAATGTTTACATACCTTCTCATGTGAAATGAGTATATATATATACATGTATATATACATATATATATATATATCACGAGCTTGCGAGCATGCGGGAATATAATTTTGGAAGTGCTTGCGCATAACTTTCTAGAAAAAAATTATGAAACTGTTAGGTGAAAGGGCTATTCTTACCTAAAACTGTCTATTTTTTGAGTGTTTTCAAATTTTCTATAATATAAACTTCTTTGGCGCCTTTTCTTGGTGCTATTCGTTCACACCCTGCTGGCGGTGGCTGACTGGTCCATCCTGTAGATGTTCTCATTTTTTGCATCAATTCTCATGGTCTTTGTGTCCGTAGACCAGAACAGTATATAAGCAGTTGATTTTTCCACTGTAATTTTGACGTGGTTTCTGTGCGTCAAGTACACGTTCGCTGTCCACCATCTGTGTTCTTGCTTACGTAGCTGGGAGAAGGCTACTAGTCCTCGT